GAACTGTACAAGGCCAACAAAGCTATCATAAAATTAAATAGTATTTATTTTCTCTTCTCACCTATGTAAATTAGTGATTTGCATTATTATTGTATATACTATATGAGATATGAAAAAGTATTACCAAGTATTTTGAGAAGCTACGTAAGACTTACTGTGATGTGTATAGAAGCATGTACCGTCATTAGCATCAAACTTTTCTATCATAAAGACTACAGGAAAAGGAGAGAAGAGAGATGCACCATGTTAATTATAATTGTGATATTAATTATAGCAACAAAAAATACACATTTGCATACTAGGGGCGTGATATGGTCAAAAAATTTATTTAATACTAGGCCTTTAGATACAGTATTGAGCCAACACTAAGCCACACCTATTCAATGTCATAATGACAACCACACCCTTTTATAATTACAAAAATGGTGGCTTATTTTTGCACTCAGTCAATCATTGTCAATACCATATTAAGCTCATATTACTAAGCATTGGTACTAATTAAGTATTGACCCCTCCTCTACTAAGCACAATGACTGGGATCTGAGCCCTACTGTAAGTACATGTCAGGCTAATCTAGCTGGGGAACTTAAATAATATCAATTTTGGAAAATGCTGTACTTTCATAATACATTTGATTGATACAAAGAAATGGGACAGTTGTCCCTCCAAAAATTGTAGCTATTATGGTTAGAAGTTAATATATGTATATTATAATTATTTCTTTATAAAGTAGATAAAGAGAGTCATATCATCGTGGGGCGTACCACAATCAAAACTTTAAAAATGTACCTACACTGATTGTCTACAAGTTGCACTCATGGTTTTAAATATATTCTATATCTAAATATTTATATCTTAATGACCAGCTAAAGGAAAATGAGTAAATTATCTAGTACTCATGTTACCTAAAGCAAATAGCATGCATGCAAGCTGCTCCAGCTAGCTACTCCCAAAGTTGGAGGTGTGGCATGACATCATCAACTATAGTATTAATAATGATGGCAGCAATTTACATCTCCAGGTAGTAAAGCAAGACTTCAGAGTCCTAACAGAAGAGGAAGTCCTCAAAAGTTTAGTATACATATTTGTAAAGCTATACATTCTTAAAGACAAAAATGCACAAAATGGATCACATGCAATAGTACTACCATAGATTATTAGAACAAGCTAGGCAAGGCCAATAATAGCTACACAATTAATTAACTAACAATATACAACGTAAACTGCTAACCATAATAGTTCTTTTTCTTTAATTATCATGAGCATTCCTATTGGAAAAGAAAAAGAAAGAGAAAATTATATAATATTGCAACTGGATTTAAGTTCCTGCTACATGCAGTCCTTATTCTTAAAATGTTGTAATATGTATATTGTTTTTCATGCGCTAGCGTCATGACTGGAAGTGCTGCATAAACCAATGGGAGTATGCGTCAATGCGTCAGAATAGAAATGTTTTCTAATCTGATGCATTGACGCATGCTCCCCCATTGGTTTATACAGCACTTCCAGTCATGACGCACGTGCATATGTCATATTGAGAACCCGCCTTAATATATATTCTAACCTTGTATCAATATATCAATATATTGATATATTGATACAAGGTTAGAATATATATTAGTTATAATTAAGATCTATATTACAACATTTTAAGAATCATTAATTTTAATGATGCATGGGCGGATCAAAGGCACCAACTTCAATAATGAGCATGGTATGAAAATGTAGCACTGTTGGAATACAGTCAAACCTGTCTATTCCGGACACCTTAGGACCCAATAAAACTGTCCTTATTATAGAGGTGTCCTTATTTCAGAGGTTCATTAATACACATTTATATTGTAATGGGACTGATACTACCTATCCTCATTATAGAGGTGTCCTTACTTTAGACTGTTCACAATAGCAGGTTTGACTGTATGTAGTACTGGACAGTATAATATGTATGGCTTTCCTGTTAACCACAAGCTTTGATAGAGGCAAACCACAACCACAGCACATCATTATACATGTAACAATAAATGAGATCTGATCACCTTGCTCCAGGCCACCTAAGCAACTTTTGAAATGAAATTTGATCCACCCACACACCACTACAAACCAATCAAAGCACCGTTGATTTGATTAATTAAAATTACAGTCAAGATAAGAAGCCATGCAAATACCGTATACAACATATATTTCGCGGGGATTAAATTTTGTGATTTTCACATTTCAGAAAAATTCACGAAATTAAAATCCGCAAAATAGCATGCTGATTGTATAGTAGGTGTGGTAATTATTACATTGAAATTGCAAAATTTTTATTCGCAAATTAAAAATAGCAGCCAAATTGCGAAATTTTACACCCGCAAAATATGTGCCGTATACAGTATGTGTACTCTCCTAATTAAATTAATGCATTTGCTCAAAATGACTAAAAAATTTGGACCACAAAAATTACATATGTGTACATGTACTTACATGTATAATAGTTACAAGAGCTAGAATCATAAGGCTTCTTTTAAGTCTTTTTCTCCCTACTTTACATCGTCCGGGTCTCAAGCTGACATATTCTTCTAGTTATCCATGAGAGAGGGAGGGAAAGAGAGAGAGAGAGAGAGAGAGAGAGAGAGAGAGAGAGAGAGAGAGAGAGAGAGAGAGAGAGAGAGAGAGAGAGAACTTTAATCAAGGCATGCAGGGCTCAGTTAAAGAAGGGAGTGTCTTCCCATTGTACCTAAGACTAATAATGGAGGGGTTTGGCTGTTTCTAGCCAGACCCCTCCATACATGTTTATAAAGCTGCAGCCTACAGGCATGTACAGTTTAGTCTACTCTACAACTGTAAGATGAAGCTTGGAGAGCTAAGTAAGAACTTTCTATTTAGATGTGTATTTTAACATATCTTAAGTTATTGAAATAATAGGGCTTGTGCTTGTATTTGTGCATGGACTTCTGGCAATAGCAGGAACAATTTTGTTCATACTTTCAGTAATTAAACAATACTTTTTATAACATGTATACCTATATATTTTTAGATTAAGTATCAAATTGATGCTAATAAAGAAAACAGTGCTCTTTTAAAGAGGCTCATTACTGTAAGTTACTGAGATATAACATAGCATGCTACATCTGAAATATTCAATTATAGGCAGTAAACAAGAACAGCAGAGCCAATAGAGCATTTAGAGGTACTTGTACTATGAAAAGTCAGAGGAAATGGAAAGAAGAGGAGGAGGAAGGATACATGTATGAAGATATACATTAAGTTAACATACATGTACATGTAATAAAATGCCACAATGTTATGCTCAATGTACATGTTACAAAACAATAAATTATTACATTATTAATGCCATATATGTACATGTATAAGAGGATAGAGGAAGAGAGAAAGGGGGGAAGAAGGGAAAGAGTTCTTTTCTCTTCCCCTTCCCTTCTATCTTTTCCTCCATCTTCATACATGGAGGAAAAGTATGCTAAACCTTAAGCCACAAGTAAAAACCATGACCATGCATTTTTATACCCAACCCCTAGGGATGAGGAAGGCAGAGTTGAGGAAGGCAGAGTTGATGAGGAGGAGAAAGATGAGGATGCTGCCTAAAATGACCCTTTGCTATTACCCGTTACTAATAAAATGACTGATGTTACAATGTACATGTACATGTACTTTAATTTTGTCTTAGTAGCTTATAATGATAATGATACATAAATACAGTGACAAAAATATTCCCAAATACCGTATAGCCGGAAAATTTGGCGGTCTAAAACTTTGGCAGTTTTGCATCAAAACTGTCTAAATATAATATTGGCGGTCATTTAACTTGGCGGTTGACTATCTTGTCTTTTCTTTAAGCATACTCAGCTCTTCTTCAAGCTGCTCCTTGGCAGTTCTTGTCCACAGTCTTGACTCTGTGACTGAAATAGTGAGAAATACTGCCATTTTTTAGTATAATTAACCCACCTATAAAAATTGGAATTATTATTGGCAGTTATAATATTGGCGGTTTTATTTTGAACTGCCAATCCGCCAAATTTAATTCTCCGCCGAATTTTCCGGCTATACGGTATATAGAAAGACAAATTTGTAACTTTTAATTGTAATACATGTATGTACAAGTAATACTTAACCTTCTAAGCACAGTATTGCTTATCAAGACAATTTACTTGATTCATTACTTACATTCATTAGTGTACATAAATTATAGACACTGCACTCCCTGCCATACATTGTGTACTAGCAAAGTAAATAAATCAACCACAAAAATTTCTAAACACTTAAGAGGTCCACCTAATATACAATGCTCTTAGACAGTCTGGCATCATGGTGAGACCTATGTACTCCCATTCCCATTTGAATGGTTCCATTTTGTTGCCTGAGGCTGGAGGAAGTATGGGGTTTGGCCTATTATGCAGCCTCTATAAAACATGAGATGCATGAGAGTCTCTCCATCACTATGGATGAGTCTGATCCTATATTACCATTGCTGCAAGAGCTCTTTAGGCTCATAAACTTACTGGAAGTAAGTGCATTAAATACATGTACATGGTTGCATGCATTTTCAATACTGTCACATATATAGAGAGAAAGCCTCAGAAGAGCATTAAGAAGGAGGAGGAGGAGGAGAATGAGGCCGCGCTTAGTCATGCGACTGATTCGGGAAGGGGGAAGCTGGAGGGCTTGTTGACTATGACTAACTTACTTAATACACTATTATTATTTACATGACTTAATAATAATAATAATAACAACAATAATACTAAATTATTGTTATTTTTTGTCTTTTGTTCTTATAATAATGATAATATTAATAACTAGGCGAGTGTAAAACATTGAGGGGCGAGCAAAACGATTAACATTTCAATTAGCAATATACAATGTTTATATAGACAATGATCGACAATGATGTAGTGGCTATTAAATGTTGAATGTCGATGTCCATACACTAATGCAGAATTTGCAAGCATGGAAGGAATTTCATAGTTTCTAGCTTTGAGTGAAGAATCTCTGCAGTTATATAGATCTAGGATGGAAGATGGTTGGTCTCAGAAGCCAGAAGGAGACTCCATTTGTTGTCTTTGGGTGCGACAAGACCATATCTAGCATTTCTCTGTATTGGACCTCCTCGCTCTTTTCTCCTCCTCACGCTCATTACAAAGAAGTCGATGAGCTTCACGAGCATCTTCTTGTGAATTACTCATGCTTTAAGCTTCAGCTTCTCTTGTCTTTTGAATACTCTTGTCTCTTGAACTCCTCTCGTCCAGTGATTACTGAAGTTGCTCTTTGTTTTTGCACGTGGTACCGTAATTATCAAAATTATGATTTTAAAATGTGTGATTATTATTTTTTATAGACGCATAAATAGGGGTGACGTACGTGTACAAACAAACAGACAGACAGACATACTCGACTCGACTATGTGGGGCTCGCTTTTGCTCGCCCCAATAATGCTAAATTAATTACTATTATAGTTTATTTCTTATTTGTACTAAGTTCAAAGTGTTATAAAATGCACACTGACCATCCCTAAAAGCTTGTCTCAATTAGAAGCCACAAGGTAAAAGATAAGGCTATACATGAACATGTACATGTATAAGAAAATACAACAGTGCATACATGTACATGTACACATCAAATATACATTACTCATACAATTTTTCAGAGACATAGAGCTCAAACATGTTGATAACAACAACAACAACAATAATAATAATAATAATGATAATAATAATAATATACATGTACATGTATTTACAAATGTATTTGGATTTTTCCAGTAAAAATTTGGGGTGAATTGGAGCCATTTCTTGGAAAATACCATAGGCTATATATAGTACAGGGATTTTTTCAGAATTTTGACGTTTTTTAAAATGACTGTAACTTGAAAAATTGAAGTCAGAATCAGCTCAAACTTTCTACACAACATAGGACATCAATATGTATCAGAAAATGTAAGGTAATTTTGAAGCCATTTTTTGGAAAAAATGGGCTACATGTATAGCCTTTGCCAGGCTTTTTTCAAACATTTTAAAAATGCTCATAAATTGAAAAATATTTGCTAAAATCAGCTCAATTTTTTTTGATAGCATAAGGACATTAATATGCATCAGGAAATGTAATAAAAGTGAATATATTCTCTCCTAGCCATTTTAAGAGGGATATGCCAAACATCACATCAAACCCTACATGTATTTCTGTCTTGACATCAATACAGTACAACAAATGTACACATTACATATTGTACATGTACATATTATATTATGCTCAATATTACCTCTGAAAGATTGTACAAGGTCAGGTACATCCTCTGGTATTAGATCAAGGTCAGTTCTATCCATTAGTACACTGCCTCTTCTCTCCCTCCCATCACTAGTAGTGTCCCTATGTGATGCCACCTGATAGCGGTAGAGTGTTCATAGCATCTTCCAAAGTTTTAGTCCTGATATTGAACCATAGGACAGGTCTTTGAAGAATTTCAATGCATCTAATCTAAGGAATAAAGAGAAAAAATGAATGTAAATAAGTCAATCTATTTATGTATTATAGTTATAGTTATGTACATGTACATGTAAGTGATACTACTACAAGGACAGACATAGTGATAGGAACATAGATTTGCATTAATAAACTATTATTATAGTGACTTATTTTATGTATACATATCAATCATTTAGAAGGACAATGGGGTGAGTTTGAGTCAGTCGTGGTTATGTGCTGACTCTGCTGCTAGCTAGGCTGTCTTGGTTTTTGAAAGTGTCTGATAAAAAATCTATGTTACTGACAAAAGCAAACCTGACTGAATTAACCCAAAAATAAATATTTCAAATGTCTACTAGACAAGAGAGAAGGAGGAAAAGGAGGAGGAATCAATACCTTAACCCCTCTCTATCTAATCCCTCAAAAAATGGTGGTGAGGTGGTCTCAGTAAAAAAAGTATTTCCAAAAAGTCAGTGCATGCATTTCTTTTGCTGTAAAATTGTATTATATTAATTTAGGCTTCATCTGATTTTTGTCTTACTAGCCTAAGCTAATATGCGATCTTCTTGACTCCATCTTTGTTGCCTAATGTGGTACTATTTTGAGGAATCTTTCAACCATTGATACTCTGAAGATCTGTGTACGTACCACTTCTGTTGCCCCTGTAGCAAGTGTATCACTTTGCAAGTCAAGTAACTCTTTATTGTATTTGTAACTTAATGTGTATGTATATGTGTGTGGTGTTACTCAGTATTAATTACTGATGTACTTCAGTACGGTCAACTCCTGCTGCTCTCAATTTAATGTTTTTCTATGTTTGTACTGTAAAGTTCCTTAATGATGATAATAATACTCTTAATGGCCTAGGCTAATCATGGTGACTGTTCCCCATCTCTTTCTGATATATATTAAAGTTATCATGTGATAAAGGAAGATAATATACAGATGTACAACCATGGATAACAGATAATGGACTATATACAAGGTTAGTGTAAATGATTTTTTGATTATTATTTATGTTTGTGATGCACTATTTGAATTTGATGTCCTTAACGTAATTGCTCCTTTCAGAAAATAAGATGTCCATCTTGGGTGTTCGGAGGAGACTTTCCTCCATCTCTTCACCTAATGCACTGTCTTCAATTTGTAGTATCTTCACAATGATGTCCTTACATGCCTTCATGTTCCTCAAAGGGTCATCTCTACCAACAACAATTAGGTTAGTGGTAACATCATACTCTCTTTCATAGATGGACTGTAGTACACTGCAGTTTGAACACCTCAGATATTGACTAAAGGTTGTAGATAATGGCAAGTTGTTCCTACAGTTTATGCAACTTATGTGGATACAGAAATTCTGTACCCCGACAATCTTAGCATCAATGACGATATCAATCTTTTCATCATCAGGTTCCACTTCAGTGATGTGATCAGTGAGGGTAAAAGTACTCTGTCGGGAGAGAGTCAGCGTCCTAGTTCCTCTGTAGCTCCTCGTATAAAGACTCTCAAAATTATATGACTTCAAGGGCTCTAATTTATTTGTATTCTCTTCCCATACAGATAGATCGATAGTGTTGTGGCCATCAGTGAGCACGACATCTTGAACAAGTCCTCTGCTGACTGATCGAGGGAGCTCTGCAGACAAGACTTTGGCTGTTACATTCACTATGACACCGTCCTCTAGAGCTAAGATTTCAGGTATTGTTTTGTCAGGGACTACAATTGGCTTCACGTCTATTTTCTTAGGAGAATACTCAATTTTACTGGTCCTGTTGATGAACAGCTCAATCTCTTCTGATGGTCCAGTCTTTACTGTGCAATTTTTAATTGCCACTGTTTCTCCCTTGGACTTGTAAGACAATAGCTGTTCATTCGAATGGCTGTCAAAGCCAATAATGCGCATACTCTTGTTTCCATCACTGCACACACCAGTATAGTAATCATTTCCTTTCTTTGATTTCTTCATAGGTGAAAGACTTTGAATCATACAAGTGATTTCTGGATTTTCTGCTGCTGCAGATTGTTGACTGGTATCGTCCTCTCTTTGTCTCTTCGCCATACTGAACTATTATAGAGTGAGCTACATCTGGTCCTTTTATAGTGATTATCTTAACCACATGACATCATACATGTAAGTGCTGAGTCATTTTTGCTCTGTATAATAGTATTGTAAAAGTGCATGTACATGTAACTAGCACGATTTCTAAAAATAGAAATGATGATGTAATAATGACATAAGGTACCATGACTAAGGAATCTGATGGATTATGTAAGAGTGCTTAGTCATGGTACCTTATGTCATTATTGCATCATCATTTCTATTTTTATAAATTCATGCTGTCATGCAAGTCTCTAAAATAGGAATGATGAGGTAATAATGATTTAACTATGATGCAATGAAAGAAGGTTTTCATCCTATAAAAGGCTAGGTTTGAGGACAGTTGCATTTAGTTGTCTTTTCTGAGTTTTTTTGTAGACAATTGAAGACTCACTCAATGGATCCAGCAGAAAAAGTTAAGAAGGTATAAGTTCTTATAGTGTGTTTTAACTTATTCTTGCTGTTGATGTACAATGTAGTTGGATAGGATTTTAGCCTTGGAAATGGAAGTTTCCCATATAAATTCCCAGATAAAGAGTCTCAGTGATCAAAAGCGAACTAAAACCTCGGAGATTATAGCATTAAAAAGGGAACTAGTAAGTCTCTTGAAATTGTTTGATGTACATGTAAATGTTCTGCCTTTATATTACAGGGACTACTTTATGAAGGTCAAGTAAGAACAAGGAAAAGGCCTTTCCCAAGAAAATAAACTCATTGAATAACTTACTTACATCTAACTTCTTGCACATTCAACTTATCTCACATTTAACTTACATGTATCTCACACATTTATTGATTATTAGTGATTGATTATTGCTGAGTCATCGTCTTAATGTTTGCTGACTCATCATTAATTGTAATATTTACACTTGTTAACAATACTTAACATCAATAATAAATCATTCATCCTTCTGAAACAAATCATCTGTGCAGTAGCTACAATATACATGTACCCCACCACCAATAATTTTTATTGTGAACATTACAATAACATACCACATTTATTGTCCTCATGAGTGTTGCCTCTTCCATTTGACTGGTGCCATTGTGGCAAAATAGAGCCTTTGATTTAGGGGAGCTGTGTCCCTCAGCTGCCCCTGGAAAAACCGCCACACTGTGTTCTTTTGTGGTGTGGTGGAAAACCTTCCTTAGTTCTGCTTCTATGTATTAGGATTATAATGAAAAGATACAACAATAACACACAGATGTACTTGTAAATGATGGGACCATGTCATATCCACCAACCATGCATAAATCATGTATCTATGAAAAGATAGAGACAAGTGTAATAACAAAAAATTGTTACAGGAGGGACAAAGAAGGAAAGGTAGAAAGGAGGAGGTTTAAAGCGATGAACAAGATGAGTACATATACATGTACAATATATCACTTACATGTACTAGTTGAGTGTAAAAAGAGCTCACATGTCATTGTAAATACTTGCAGGTAGAATTTACTACTAATGCTCTCCCAGTGCTATATAAAGAGAATAACAATAAAATTTAACACAATAGCATGTCCTACCACATGGTTTCCCACAAAGCATGCTAAGTGAGCAAGCTTCATGAGTTGACAAGCACAATAATAGAGTACATTGTATTTTTTTGAACAATTTTTTAAAAAATCCATAAAATCAAACAAAATGAGTTTAAACTTGCTACACAGCTAGCATAAGGACATGTACATGTATATGCATCAGAAAAAATGTAGAATTCTCTGCTTTTTATTTTTGGTAAAATTTGGTCAAATCTCTATAATAGTACAAAAATTTTGACATGAATTTTAAGTAAATTTAAAAATTTGTAAAGCATCAAAATTTGATCAGAATGAGCTCAAACTTTCTACACAACATTAAAACATACAGTATGTTTTAATTTAAAAAAATTACAACAAATTCTCTATTTTTTATTTTTGATGAAAATTGTCTCTGTACTATTATAGTACATTGACCTTGGTCCTGTTTTTGAGTAACTTTAAAATTTCATAAAAAATATAAATTTGATTGGAATCAACTTAAGCCTTCTACAAATCAAATTAAGCAAGTTAAGATGCAATATCTGTGTTGTTTGAATCTAATTTAAGGCTCTGCACTATAATTATTTTCAATAAAAATATTAGCTTACTATTATAGTAGAATTAAATATATGAAAGAAATACAGCATGTCTTTTGCAGGAAAAATGGTAATTAAAGGAACCTGTCCTAAAACAAAGAGATTATCATAACATCATAAAAATAAGGAACATATCTATTACACAAGTTCATTATTTAATAGAATGTACAAAATTATGATTAAAGATGAATCTTACTTATCAAAAAAATTGGTGTAATGATGAAGCCATTCTTCTTTGAAAATTTTCTGATGTCAATAGAAAGGGCCAACAATCAAGAAGAAAGCCCAGTCTGCCAATGGAGGACAGCAAGGAGGTGTACGTTGCTGTACATGTATGACCTTTTAGTAGTCCCAAACAGTCTGACTCTAGGTAAGAGAAAGCGCTAGACATAAAAAGCAATGTAATCTTACGTACAAATCATCACAAGCCTTTTAAAAAATAGTATAACTATGGAATGATGGTCACTATTTGATACATTTGGTGGAGCATTCCACCAAAAGCTCTCCTCATAACTGATATAGTGGCGTCAGTTGATTCTAATTCCCTCCATCCAGTTGTGTAGTGCTGTTGCAAAATCATATATGTATAGGTGTCATATATTTGCAGGTGTCTAATTTGTACTGGTTTTCAATCTGGAGTGTTGATGGTTGGTGAATGAGATAGCAGAGATCTATAAAATACAATAAACAAATATGATTAAGTTCTATGACATGGCAACTTACATGTATATGCATACTTAGAATATATGTGTGACTGTGTGCATAATGTTGGTGATTATCAGCCATGTCAGGGAGGTTATAAGTACTCATCCCTGCATTTTTGGCTGCAATATATACACAAGGGAACGGATGAACTGCCTAATCACCAAACAGTTCACTATTCACGTATCCCTGTATTATAAAGTCAAAATAGCACACACCACATCATGATCACTATAATAGCAATCAAAAACAACAGTATGAATCTTAAAATATATATTGTTATAATACAAGTGATCTATTAAAGAACCTGTATCAGTGGTGGAAGATAAAATCTTCTGGTCAAAATTATGGTCAGACATCAGGGTTTTTAACTGACGACTAGAAGCTACTAAAGGCTCAATATCTTCACTAAAATTTTCATTAAAATCCCCCATTATAATAGTAGGCAATGATAAATCAATGCTATTAAACAAATCTATTATTGCACTGAATAATTCCTGAATTGAAACACAAGGAGACCTATAAAGCACAACAATCTGTATAACACAATCATTGCATTTTATGCAACTAGAAATGATTTCTATTCCATTTCTATTAATTCTAATAACATTTCCTGGTGACATAGATTGCATGACAGATAATAAGACCCCCCCGTGATCATTTGTATTCCTGTCACATCTCATAACAATGTGGCCATTATTAATGCAAGGAGACGGTTGTGAAGGAACTAACCATGTCTCACATAACCCTATGACTGAAGCATCTTTAAGGTTAACATCATTTACGAGATCACCAATTTTATTAGAAACAGACCTTACATTTAATAATCCAATTTTTAACAAAAAATTATCTAAATTACTATGTACTGGTGATATGATAAGCATGTTTTCCTTCAAACGGGTCATCTCTTCATGAACTTCATCACTTTTTTTGATGGCATGTTCATTAAAATTTTTAATAAATAAGCCACTAAAAGATTTAACTCGGCTAAACGCCACATAAGCCTGACCAGGGCTGAAAGCACTACTATTATTCATATCAATGACGATTGTATCCATAGTCAGGCCTTGCACTTTGTGGATTGTCGTAGCCCAAGCTAGGGTGAGAGGGAATTGATATCTTGTCACTTCACTCCCATGCCTACCCTGAGCTAAAAACTTTACTTCAATTTTTTTTAATGGAACGGCATTACTATAAATATTTTTGTATTGACTACACTGTATGGCTTGTTGACCCACATTAGGATCATCAAATTTCACCAGTACTCTAGACACATCATTATTATAATTACAAACAATGTACACTACTTCACCACGAGCCCCATTAACTAACCCATCAGACACACTGACATTAGATGTTAGCATAACACGCGATCCTATTGCTAATTTTAGTATACCATGTAAATTGCCAGTATCTGACTTCCTATCAGACAAATTGCTTAAGTTTAAGTGGTCTGTTTGACCAGCAGTAGAATCTCGTGCGAGAATAGTAAATTGTTCGCTTTCACTAGCCAACTTATTAAGCATGTCAAGGTTATGCCTATCAACATCTTTGTTGTGTCTGTAAACATGAAGTGAATTTTTTGGATAATCTGGAAAATCATCTGTTATGATCCTGCTTTTTAACATATCAATATCGCTATCATTACACTCAGCAGTTCTTACTCTACACAAAAGCTCAATAAATCTACTATCCCCCCGCTGCCTCATTATATCTGTTAGTTCTACTATGTGAAAGAGTTCTCTCCAAAGTGAGCCACATCCAAATAAAGATGCTATTTCTGAATTTGAAATAGTTCGAAAAAGGGGAGGTTGCATTACAGGTGGCAATTGGTACAAATCCCCAACAGCCAGTACACTAACGTTTCCAAAAAAGATACCATCTGGTTGCACTAAAATCTCATTAAGTCGCTTATGAATATCAAGAAGCATGTTACAGCCAACCATACTAATTTCATCAATGATTAATAATTTCAGTTTACCAAGTCTCATTCTTAAAGTATTGGCCCTGTCATGACTTAGAGACTGATATCCACTAGATTTACTTCTGCTTAAAAGCAAAGCTGAATGCAGAGTCATCCCTCCAATGTTAAAGGCAGCTACCCCAGTAGGAGCTGTCAATAAAACCATTACATCATCTGGTTCGAAAATTCCAGATAATCTTAAGAGTTTGATAGTGTCAGATTTGATTATTTTAATGATATGAGATTTGCCAACACCTCCAGGGCCACTCACAAATAAGTGGTACGGTGTTACTGTCTTACCATTTTTTAGTGCTATTGCAGTCTCTTTGCACCATTTACGATGAAAAAGAACTATCTTGCGCTGCTTTTTGTTTAGACCTCTAAAAAGAGACCTGTATTCTTCTGAAGGAATGATGTCACTGTTAACAGCAATGTCAAATCTACTTAAAATTGCTGATGTATGAGTACTACTACATTGATCATCATTATGTGACATTTCAGCAATGTCTTCACGTTCTAAATCCCTCAAATTTGTGGTTCCTTCATCATGATCACATCCTCTGTTGTGTTCTGTAGTAGGAGCTATGCTATCCCAAACATGCTGAGGAGGATCATCATGAAAGTCAATGTGTTCCACCTCTTCTACAGTGTATTTCTTTTCATTTGTAGTAATTTCGGAAACAACTTGCCGATAATGCTCCTCATAAGTATCATATCCACCAAGTAGATCAGATTCTTCATTGCGCCAGTGATAATAGAGCATGATTTTTGCCCTGTACCAATTATTGGAGTCAGTGTCCTTGCTCCACTTGTGAAACCTTATTGCAGCCTCTCTTCTCCTTTTGGCCATTGATCCATAATTATCAGTTAATGTAATAGTTGTTACAGGAGCTGGATTGCATGTAACATCTTCAGATGGTAAGACATCATCACCATCATCATTAACAGTTGCATCATTTGATGATCCATACTTAGGACGATAGTTTGCAGCAAATTCAGCTAAACACATAGGCGTGAGGCTTTGTGGTCTGTGAACATAACGTTCACATAAAGTCTTGCAAAAGACATCATTATCATCATCATCAAGATGCTGTCTGCCTCTGCCATTTTTTATTAAGGCTACTCTTTCGTCTTTTGGTCCTGTGTTTACAAATTCTTGTTCCCTGGAGTGTTTCTTCATTGGAAGAGATAATATACGACAAGCTGCTTCCTGGGCACCCAAATCCCTGTGGCTCAAAAAAGCGGCTCCGACTTTGCGAAGCTGCTCAGTCAATTCAGCTGTTCTTTCTTCGTTAGCTACATGTTTCAGCAACTCGCCCATTGCTTTCTCACTCTTCATCATATATGATGCCACATACATGACACAAGCGTAAGGATTGAGTATAAACTGAATATCAATATTTGCTTCCCAAGCTAGTAAAACTTCCCTGTTATAGTTGTTAACAAGACAATCCTTAGGCTGTCTCTTTAAAACTATGACATGTCCTGATTTTGTCATAGAAATAGCTTGCTTGTAATCCTCTGAAGTAACACCAGCCAAATTTAATAAATCTTTCATATTAAGATTGGTTTCAGAATTTTTCAGGGCTTTTTTCACTTTATCCAGGCATTTAGTAACATTATTGAGAACAGTGATGTCACTATTAGGGCAGGCAATTAGAGTACTCTCACTAGGTAAACGAGGGAATTGAAAACGACAGTTACCTTTCCTCTTACAATAAGAGGAGTGTCTGTGCCGTTGTAAAAGAGATACAAGGTCCTTCAAATGACCATCCTCAGTAGGCATTTCACAAGATATGTACTTGTTGATGAAGGTGCAAACATCGTTGTTACTATCGACTCCAAATTTGGGTGCACCTTTCACCCAAAGGACACAGTGAGCATGAGGAGATCCACGCTGCTGAAACTCTATCCTCCAAGAATAATCTACAATTTCTCCAAGAGGTTTTGCATCAGTTAGGAGAAAATCATTGAATAAGCAGTTAAGCCTATAGTGAAAATGCCTAACAGCTGCCACTGGATTCCTCCTTATCCAAGAACTACGTTCTTCAAAAGAAAGCTGTGATACTTCATCATCAGTGTAATGAACATTGTACTGTTGTGCAATGACCTTTATCATATCAGGCCACTTAAGATCAGCAGCAGAAACTGTAAAGAACCAAGTAGGAGTACCAAATTGTCGAACCATAGCCAACAACTCATATAAAGTTCTTTGAAAATAAGGAGGTGACCCACGAACATTTTTGAGGAAACGATATGCTTTGTCCTTGCGTACATATTGTGCAAGAGATCTTGGATCTCTTACTTGACGAGCAGTGAGAGAATTGTCTTGTGGTCTTTGTCTCCAGATATAACAGTTCATATCGTCAAAGATCTGTTTCGCCTCAACTATATACTGTGCCGTAAAAAGATAATCAAGATCTTGAGAAAATCGTCCATCTTGATTTAAGAGTCTTTGCTGAAAGTAGCGCCTGTAAGTGAGTTTTACAGGCCTCTCAGTACTAAAGGCACCTTTTCCCAGAGGAAACTTATCAGGGTTTGACAGTAATTCAAAGTCTTTGTCAAAAAAGAAAGAGAGGGGCTTCTCGCCTTCAGCTGGTGCTATTGACAGTATGGCGTTCTCAGTTTCTATATTTTCTATTGATAAAACACTTGCAGAAGGTGGACCACCATAAATTTGACGATGATGTTCATCACCCTCTGCTATAATGTGATCACTTAATATTTGATCAGTGTT